TGTTCATGAACTCTCTGCCTACTCTTATTTCTCCTTCTTCATCTGAGCAGTATCTATTGCAGATGTTCATTTTTGGATTGGATCTTCAAATTTGAACTTCTTTTTTTTTTTTGAGTTCTTTATGTATTCTAGATAATAGCTCTTTGTCTGAAGAATAGCTGGCAAAATTTTTTCCCACACTCTGTTGTCTCTTCACTCTGTTGTTGGTGTCTCTTGCTGGGCAAAAGCTTTTAGTTAGGATGAGATCCCAGTTGATTTCTTGTGATAGTTGCTATGCAATTAGGATTTTGTTCATAAAATTTTTGCCTGCATCAATATCTTCAAGAGTTCTCTATGTTCCATTTAGAGTTTTTAGTGTTTAGTGTTTTTGTTTTAATATTTAGATCTTTCATTAATTTTGATTTTATTTTAGTGTATATATACAGTGAAAAATATGGGTCTAGTTTTAATCTTTGGCATGTATAAAGCCAGTTTTTCCAGCACCATCTATTAAAGAGGCTTTCTTCCAGAGAAGAAGGTGTCTCAAGTTGTTTCTGCATCTTCTAACCTGTTCCATTGATCCTCAGGTCTGTTTTGTTTGTCTGTTTATTTGCCAGTGCCATCCTGTTTTTACTTACAGTAGCTTTGTAGTGTAATTTCAAATCAGAGACTGTGATGCCTCCTGACTTGCCTGTGTTGCACGTAATTACCTTTACTGTTCTAGGTCTCTTCTGATTCCAAATGAATTTTAGGATTTTTTTCTCTAGATCTGTGAGGTATGTGAATGGTATTTTGATTGGGAATGTATTAAATCTGTTTAACAATTTTGAAAGTATGGTCATTTTCACTACATTGGGTCTTCCTACCCAAGAATAAGGGATATCTTCCATTTTGTGACATCCTCTTCAGTCTCCTTTTTCAAAATACAGCAGTTTCATCTTTTACTTTTTGGTCAGACTGATTCCTAGGTGCTTCTTGTTTTTGGATGTTATTGCAAAAGTTGTTGTTTCCCCAATTTCTTTCTCAGTGTGTTTCTTATTCATGTATAGGAAGGCTATTGATTTTTGGTTTTTTGCTTTGTTTTGTTTTGTTTTTAATTTTTTTGTTTGTTTTTTGTTTTTCTTCTGTTACTGGGTATCAAACTCACGATCTTGCACTTGCCAGGTAGGCGCTGTGCCACTGAGCTAAATCCCCAGCCCCTGGAAAGCTATTGATTTTTGAATGTTGACTTTGCATCCAGCTATGCCACTGAATGTAGTTAAAAGCGTTTTGGTGGAAAGTTTTGGAGGTCTTCTATATAGAGTATCCTGTCATATACAAATAATAATTTAACTTCTTCCTTTCCTATCCTTATTACTTTTATTTAATTTCTCTGGCTAATGTTTCCAGAATTATATTAAGAGTAGTGACAGTAGACTTCCTTGTCTTGTTACTGATTTTAGAGTGATAGTTTTCAGATTTTGTTCATTTAGTATGGTGTTGGTTGTTAATTTGTCATAGATAGCTTTTATCAGATTGAAATAAAGAGCTTCTATTCCAATTTTCTTTAGTTTTTTATCATGAATGAGTGTTGGACTTTGTCCAGTGTTTTCTTCTCTGTTTATTAAAATGATCACAGCGTTTTTGTTCTTGGTTCTGTTAATGTGGCATATTACATTTATTGATTTGTGTATGTTTTTTATTTTAAATTTGGGTGAATCTTATTATTTACACAATCTACTTTGTTGTGTTGTATAATCTTCTTGATGGTTTACTGTATTATGTTTGCCAGTATCTGAACTAGGACTTTTGAATCTATGTTAGGGAGAGTGGCCCAAGAAAGAAGTCTCTTTCTTGCTGTGGTATTAGGGTAGTGTCTGCTTCCAAGAATGAAATTGGGAGTATTGCTTCCCTTTCTATTTCATTAAAGTATTTGAAAAATAGCCATATTAGTTCTTCTCTAAATTTCTGGTAGAATTCAGCAGTGAATCCATCAAGCCTGAGCTTTTCTTTGTTGGTAGGGTTTTAATTACATCTTCAATTTCATTGACTGATATTTATTTTGAATTTTTATGTTTTGTTGTTTCAGCTTTAGTAATTCATAGGTATCTAGGAATATGTCCATTTTTTCTGCATTTTCTATCTTATGAGAACAAAGTTTTCAAAGTAGCATAGGTGATATTCTCGGTTTCTACAGGATCTGTTTCAATTTCACCCTTTTCATTCTTTTATGGATTTGAGTCTTTTCTTTCCTTTTATTGATAAAGTTCACTATGGATTTGTCCATTTTATTTAATCTTTCAAACAACAAACTCTTCAATTCATTGATTCTTTGTATTGTTTTCTTAGCCTCCACTACATTAATTTCTGCTCTGATCTTCATCACTTCCTCCCTCATATGAGCATTCTGTTTGACTTGCTCTTCTTTTTCTACAAGCTTGATGTTTAATATTAAGTTGTTTATTAAGCTTGCTCTGTTTTCCTAACATGGGCATTCACCATTATAAATTTCTTTTGTAGGACTGCTTTCATTGTGCCCCATAAGTGCCAATATGTGGTATTGACATTATTGTTTAGCTGTAGATATTGTTTAATTTCTTCTTTAATGTCACCTGTGACCCACTGGTTGTTCAGGAGGGTGCTATTTAATTTCCATGTGTTTATGAAGTTCTTGTGGTTTCTTTTGCCACTGATTTCCACTTTCATTGCATTATGGTCAAATAACATATATGGGATAATTTCATTTCCTTTGCATTTACTTAAATATGTTCTATGAGCTATACTACAGTTTCTTTATCCATTCATCTGCTGATGGACATATAGGCCACTTCCAAAATTTAGCTATTGTGAATTGTGCTGCTGTGAACTTGGATATGCATTTTTCCTCCTGTAGATTTTTCTATTAATGATATGCTATTTACTTTAAGTGCTATATTGCATTATACCTGTTGGTTATAGTAGAATTTATTTATCCTGTGCTTATTGATGAAATTTTTAATTTTTTATATCACTAGATGTGGCATAACTGTGGGATACATGAATCTTTGATTATACTAATTTATACCATACCTGCATTGGGTCTGAGTTCTTCTGCTTTGTTCTTTATTAGTTTTCCTTGCTCTACAAAGAAGTAAAATCAGCATGACAGCCATAACTGGGTCAAGCCTGAGGGAGAGGGTGATGGCCTAAGGAAGTCAATTTCAGGCCAATTTCAGTGTGCTTGTTGACTGCAAACACTATCTAACCTTCCCCACTTTTTGTCCCACAGGTGCTTTTCAGTTGAGCTTAGTGAAGGCAGATGTACCCACAGTGCCTCCACGGGAGGCCACACTTGTTGCACTGGTGAGCAGTTTGCTGGTGGTGTTTACCCTGATCTTTGTGGGACTCTTCTTCCTCTACTGCAAGCAGTTCTTCAACAGACATTGCCAGCATGGTAAGGGTGGCTGTTTCACTTTTCTCATGAATCAGAAGTAAAGCTCTTATTGGCAGAAGAGAAGAACTTTTGGGAGCTGAGAGTTAAATGGCCTTACTTAACATATTGGAAAAACCCAAGGGTGGTCTTCTCCAGGCTTGGCCTGTGGAATTAACTGTGATGGCAATAGAAAGCATGGGACTTGAAAAATGAGCGAGGGTGACTTTGGGAGTTTTGCAGACATTTCTTTAGATTACAGGACATCACATAGGACCATGATGAGAAACTCCATGCGAAAGAAATCTGAAGACCCAGTTCTAAATTTATCTCTAACTGATTATGTAACCTTGGAGAAGTTATCTTGCTTTTATGAGCTTCTTTCTCCCTAGTCTTTAAAATAAGAGATAAGATTGGATGAGTTGGGATTTCTCAAAGTTTTTTTTCAATTCTGCATATCTATACTAATAAATATAAGTGCTGGAGCATGTGAGAAGGATGGAACACTTAGCTATATATGAAATATTATTTTAATAAAAGAGGATGAGGTCTAGGGAAACTTTCCCTTTCTTCCTTTTCCCCTTACCCCACCCAAATTCTTCTTTCCTTTTGAAAAATTTCATCCCATTTGACAATATCTGTTGTACATTTTGGTCCTTATTTACTCTTTCAGTTCCTCATACTAAGGAGACAATGTGATGTTTACACACGTGAGTGTGATTTATGTGCACCCATGTTTATAGCATCACAGTTGTAATAGCTAAATCTTGGAAACAACCCAAATGCCCATCAACTGAGATATGGATAAAGAAGATGAATAGATACACAGATAGATAGATAGATAGATAGATAGATAGATAGATAGATAGATAGATAAATTTGAGGCATTTCTAAGTAAGTGGATGCAACTTGATACCATATTCTTTTTTTTATTTTAAAGAGAGTAGTACATGAGACACAAACAAACAAAAAAATAGAAGAGTAGCAGCATACCAGTATCATGAACATAAAAACCAAATCAAAGCAAGAACATTCAAAGTGATACAGGGTCTCAAAACAAATTAATACAAATCGACAGTGGTTGTTACATTACATATCACTATCCTCAGCTACATTGCTCAGATTATCAGATGTAAGAAAGAAAGATTGCTCAAACCATTAAAGAGAATAAGAAAATAATTCTTCAATAAAACATTAGAGATAATACAGAGTTTCACTAGACAAGATGGTAGGAGTTCACCACTGTAATTCCATTGCATATTGTTACCTTCAGATCATTTGCTCAGACAACCAGACACAAGCATGCAAAGTCGATCAGAACATAAAAAATTGTGAGCATTAACTGTTCATTTCAATACACTATTGGACAACAGCAACACAGTCATCGCAGATATTCATATATATATTTATGTTTTGCCTTCCTTCTTTCTTTTTTCTTCTTTCCCTCATCCCAGCCATTCCTTCCTTTGAGCAGTTTCTTTCCCTTTCCTATCATCTATTGTAAATAGATGTAAAACGTTTTGAGTTTTACCTAGTCTTTCAAGTTCCTACAACAAGGAGACAATGTGATGTTTATACATGGGAGTCTGATTTATTTCACTTATGAGTATGGTCTCTAGTTGCATCCATTTACCTACAAAAGCCTCTAATTTATCTTTTTTTAATACCTGAGTAATACTCCACTGTATAAAAATACTACAACTTTTTAATCCATTCCTCAGTGGATGGGCATCTGGGTTATTTGCAAGATTTAGCTATAACAAATTGTGCTGCTGTAAACACAGGTGCACCTATTTCGCTGTGGTATGATGAAACCATATTCTTAAATGAAATAAATCAGACTGTTGTGTAAGCATCACATTGTCTCTCTGGTGTGAGAAACTGAAAGAGTAAATAACTTCCCTTTGTCTCTTTATGACTTTTCTCAAACTCTACTTCAATCTCCTCTACTTTTTGGTAGCTCCTGGGACATTGTAGCTATTTCAATGCCTGAAACTCATATCTCAAATAAGAGCTGTTTTCCAGTTCCTGAGCATGGGCATGAAACATATGCAATGAAGATTTGGGCCCCAGAGTTTATCAAGATGATTATGAGGGGCAATCTGAGAATTGACTATCTTCCTGCTCTTCTCTAAGAGAGAAGAGATGAGTAGCAGTCTTCTGTTCCCCTTTTTTTTCCTCAAGACAAGGATGTGTTACCTTCTAGGCATATGAGGGAAGACAGCTTCCTTACAATCTCCATAAGGGTAAGAAGGGCTAGATTTTTCTAATTTGGGAAGGATCTTTATCAAGAGTGACTGACTTACACACATACTAAGGCTGTGTAAGTGAAGACACTGGGTGGATTAGAATGGCTATAAAGTGTAAGAAAAAACCATATGGACTGTGGCAAACCAGAGAGTGCATCCCCTACTGAAAAGGGAATCTATTAGTCAGTTCTAGCTCTTTGTTGCCATTTGGAAATATTCAACATTCCAAAACTTCCTTAATGCAGCAAAAGGTAACGTCAGTCTGATACTCCAGCTTAGGTAGGTTACTCACATGTCACCTCAACCTGGTCCTAGGTGTTCTAGCTCCAAGACCCTTCCTTATTTGAGCCCAGGACCAGGTCCCCAAGAAACATAAAATCATTTTTCATAATAAGACCTTCAGAAGAGATGTTGGCTTTAGATGACCCAGTGGCTTTCTACTTTGAGTTACAGGAAGTTCGCTGCAATTTGAGGCTGATGAGGCAACAGAAGAATCTGCCTTCCCCATGCCACCTGGCCAGGAGACCAGTCCTGAGCACCCACTGAGTGAGAGCATCTTTGAGAACAAGCCACTTAACCCCATTCTGGATGACGACTGCAGCTCAACTCATGTCTTCCCCACACAGGAATCCTTTACCATGGCTTCCTGTGCCTCAGAGAGCCACACCCACTGGGTACACACCCCTATTGAATGCACAGAGCTGGACCTGCAAGAGTTTTCCAACTCTGCCTCCTATACTGTAGCTGAGACCTTGGTGGGGAACACAACTGAAAGCTCTGGAGATAGGCTGGAGCTCAATGTTCCCTTTCAAGTTCCCAGCCTTTAACTCTACTGAGGTAAGCTCAAAAGGTGGGACAGAAAGTCCAGAAAGTAATGGCTGCCCCTGAGGAATTTCTGTGTGTAGTTTAATAGGGCTGGAGTGAAGGAACAGCAGTATGTGAGGAACAGTGGTGGGTGGGGGAGTAATTGTAGTGATATTAATCTTTTAAGCCAGTCAAACCTCACACTTCTGGATTAGGTTTAGACTGCCTTCAGTCACAATTTACATATCCCATATTTATCTGATCTTCATAACACTGTGTTTTTGTAAGCAGGTCAAGATGCGTTAGCCTCACTGCATGGAGATGGCAACTGATTTACTTCAAATCACAGGGTGATTCAGTTGCAGAACTAGGCTAGAGCCAAAGTTTTAAGCCTCCATTCTAGAACTCATCCAACTCCACATGCAAATAATCTGTAGATAAGGTCATTTTCTGAAAGCCTGAGCTATGAGACAGGTAAATGGGCAGATTTTAAATTTTTAAGTAACCAACTACTTTTCACAATGCTCATTTCCATATTTCATCAGCTAAGCTATTTCCAACTGTCCCATAACTTTTCCTTATATCCTACCTAAAAAGATATGAACATTATACATTTAAAAGCCATGACTGATACTAAACTAGTCATCCTCTGTACCTTCAAGGTTTCAAGGTAATCTATTCCAGTGCTCCCTGTAAAACCTTCAATCCATACTTAAGTATATTTTTATAATATACTTTGAATATCTCTTATCTGAAATTATTGATACCAGAAGTATTTCAGATTTTTTTGGTATTTTGGATGAATTGTATATACATAATGAGGTATCTTTAGGTTGGGACCAAAGTTTAAACCAAAACTCATTTATATTTCGTATATAAATGGCAAGCAAGTGATTTTATGCAGTGTTTTTAGTGTACTTGCATTTTGACTTCAATCAGTCATGTGAGATCAACATGTGGAAATCGTGGTGCTCACAAAGTTCCAAATTTGGATCATTTAGAATTTTTGGATTGGAATTCACAACTTGTTTCTACACTAAGAATTTATATAGTCCTCCATTACACATTGACAGAGGCAGAGGGTTCACCATTGGTCAATGGGTAGTACAGCTATACTAGTAGATTTGAGCTCAATATAAAGAAAATGCTTTCTGTCTCGCTGGGGCCTGGCTGTGTTCTATGGGCCACACAGACTTCATTTCCTTTCTCAACCTTGTTATAATGCTACAGAAGTGTGAAGGCAGCATTTTATCCCTCTGGAAAGTACCACTTTAGGTTCTTCTAAGGTATGTAGGGCACAGAACTAAACCCAATTTCATGAAGAATTATTCCATTAGTTTAGAACATGGTCAATTTTTCATCTCCCCATGTAAGTGATGTATTTCTGCTCTTGGATACTATACCACTGATCTAACTCATGATTGGGAGGGGACTAGGGAGAGGAAGTAAATACTGAGATTGGCCCCCACCTTTCTAACTTGGCTTTGCTCTCTGCATAGGTCTCTCTTGCTCCTGACAGCCTTAGCTAGTCATTCTTCCTAGACTGGCCTTATTACTATGCCAGACCAGCAACAAGACCTGGGATATGGTGTCCACAAGAGCCAGTACTCTGCAATGGGGTATATTCTATCCCATCTTATAAAGCATTGATTCCTCACCATTTCCCCAGGACTAACCTGCAAGATTGTTTTCTTCCATGTTTCAGCCTGGAGATCCAAATTCCCCAGCCTGGAACTACTGGAAATATTCCTAATTTGACTTGATTGTAGAAAAGCACAGAGGGAATGACATAAATAGAATTAGAGTTTTCCTGCTTATGTGTTGGTCTTGTGAGCTTTAAGAAAGGAGGCTCTCAGAACTTTAATGGCATCCACATAGCCCTTTAGGGACAAAATGAAACCATTTTCTTTTAGCTCCTCAACAGTCTCCCTTCCCAATACCCCAACATACAAACACACACACACACACACACACACACACACACACACACACACAGAGACAGCTCTTTGGAGAAGGCTGGCACCATGATTCCCCAACTCGTATCCTATGAAACTCTATAGCTTGCCCATTTTTTAGGGCCTTCCTCCTTCCTCACAAATAGGTCTATAGCCTTCTCTAGTGGGGATTCAAAGCAGTGGCTTTTCCTTTTAAAATGGGTTTTCCTAAAGTCCTTTTCATTTTTATTTCTTTTCTCTTTTTGTCTCTTTTCTACTCTGGACTTTGAGATGAAGTGAGTTCCTGAGATCTTGGAGGGGCTACTGAAGAGCAAATGTTCTCACTCGTACCTGTTTCTAGGGAAGATCAGGGACAATTTGGTGCTTTCCTGGTTTGGTGAAAAGTCAACTTATTTTTTCTGAGCCTTCACCACCAGTTTTATATGCTTCTTAGCATAAAATGGAATTCTTTTTATGGCCTTCCAGTGGAATAGGACAGATGAGACCCTCAGGCCTCAAGTGTGAACATCAGGTATTGTTTTTTAAGTCTCTTGTCTGTGATGAGACACTTGGGCTGTTACCCACACCCTCAGAATAGCTCGGGTTTGGAAGGAAGACAGGTTTAACTTAGTGGATCAACTGACTACTTTTTTGGGGAGCAGTTTATACAGTTTGGAATGATTGATATGCCTTAATTTGTAAAAACTAAGACTGAAAATATGGCATCATTATCCTGAGTTAAGGATGTTGGAATCCACTACTTAGATGGGTTCTGCACTTTACATTTTGCAATATGCTTTACATTAATCATCTCACTGGATCTTTACACAGTGTCTGAGGTAGGGAAGGCAGGAATTGCCATCTGCAGTTTTCTGAAGAAGAAGCTAAGCCCCAGAGGTAGAAAGGGGCTGCACTTAAGTTACTCCAAAACAAAAAGTTAAATAGCAAAGCTGGTGTGCTTTCGGAACCTCTTTGATATCTTAAAATCTTTGTTTTCTGGAAGACAATATTTTGGATGGGAGGATGTTGGTTTTCTTGGGATATATGTTTCAGAACCACCGTGCTTGGAAAGAAAAAGGGTAAAGCAACAAATAAGGCCCTCATGTCTGCATGTGAGTGAAGGAGGTTCTTTGTCTACCGTAGCAAGCCTGACCTCCCTATTTCCTGCTAGTTTTCCCTGCCCCCTACCATCTACCTGGGTAATTTTTGGCCAGGTCTGAACTCAGTGAGAAGCTACAGCTTTCTATTTGGCACAGTCCCACCAAAGTTCAAAAAGTCAGAATGGTTACAAGGTACAGGGGTGGAAAAGAGTCTACAATCTATCTTGTCTCTCTGCCCCTGAGGTGTGGAAGAGGCGACTAAGAGTGGAGCCAGCTGGAACATTCATCCCTTTTGCTCCCACTCTCACTGCATTTATCCTTTGTGCAGTTTAAGAGTCTCTGAATTTGGTTGGGGTGATTTGTGGCTTAATTTTATTTAAAGGCTAAAGGAGGCAATTCTCTTGCCTACAAGTAGATTGTAGGTATTTAATCAAAACTGTCAATAACAACACTTCAGTGCTTTACAGTTTTAAAATATTATATATATATTTTTTTTGGTACCAGAACTCAAACTCAGGACCTTGCACTTGCCAGGCAGGCACTTATGCCACTGAGCTATATCCCTGGCCCTAAAATGTTCATTCATATACTGTGCATAAAGATGAAGAAACTGAGACCCAAACAATAATGACTTAACCAGGATAATTCACATTGGAGAAAGACAGCCTGCTGTGACCTTCCACTCCCAATGTCAATTGTAGATACCATGATTGAGAATAGAGGCCAGGGAAAAGCAAGTAGAGTAGAAACTGCCCTTGGCAATGGCAGAAGGAAAGATAGGGATATTTAAGGGCCCTCTGACGTTATGTTTCTTCACTAGACACTGCCTAAATGATCTTTAAAGATATACGAGAGCTTTATGAGATGGATTAATGTAGGCTATCTCTACCATCAGGAAAATCAACTGGTTTCATAGACAATTAAATGGTGCCAAAGCAGTAGTAGTGTGCTTCATTGAAAAATGACACAAGATTTTATTGGCATGTTGGTCTAGCTAGGGTAGAATGGGGGATCTCTTTCTGTTTGTCTCCAGTTCTCATTCCTTAGGGCCTATAAGAGTTTCTCTGCCTTCTTCCAGATTCCCCCAATGCACAGCACTCCTGGGTCATCTGGAGGATCCTGTGTATTTTGAGGTGCAATGATCTTGAGTTTCAGCATAGGGCAGAGCATGCAGCTTTCCTCCAGTAGGGGGCAGAATTGGTGTTTTCCTTCTTAGAACATTACAGAACATTTCTGAGCCAAGGTAGCCTTCCTTCTGGGGAATAGGTTCCCAAAACTACCTCCTAGTAACTCCCCAAAGATATGTTCATATGAATTTAGTGTTAATTGAGTGAGCAGAGGAAAGAGGGCGCTCTTCCTTTTTCTATTAATGTATCACTACATACCAGCTAACCTACCAACCCCTCCCACTTCATTATTTTGAAGTGATGTTTTACCTTTAGCTGTCACCTATACATTTCATGACCAGAGAGAGACAAGTTCCTTGGAGATAATTATGGTTTGTGTCTGGATATTCCCTCAAAGCCTCATGCAGTCATGGGGCAGGTTTCTAGAGATTATGATTGATTCATGATCCAATGTTGGGATTATGGGTGTGAGTGTCACACCTCTCTGGGGCGAGTAGTTTGCATACAGTGTAAAGGAGTGAAAGAGGCTGCTTTCCACTCCTCCTGCCCTTGTGCTCTTGTTGCTTTTGCTATGTTCCACCACCATGAACTGTTGCCCTCTGCCATGTGCCACTCTGCCTTGGAGCCAGCCAAGTATGGACTGAAATCTCCACAAACTGTAAGCTAAATAAACCTTTCCTCCCTTAATTCTGGGTGTCAGGTATTTTGTCTCAGCAAAGAGAGAAAAGTAACCAAGACAACATTATTATTCTTTATTGTCTGAAACTTTTATGAAGCTTACAGAGCTGGTTCCTATTCTACAAGTACTTGGTGGCCAATTAAATATCTTAAGCAGAATGGTTAACTATCACCTAGCTCTGACAAAGAGTGTTCTCTACAGCAATAGAACTACTTTTAGCCTTTCATTAAACACATCTCTGAGAACAGCTCAGCTGTGAAATAAATTCTGATTAAAAGCCCTTGGAACAACCCACTAATTAGGGAAATAAAGGCCCTTGATTAGTGGATTGTAAAAAAAAGAAAAAAAAGAAAGAAAAAACATTGTAGTTGGTGGCAGATTAGAAGGAATTGAATTGCAAACCTTCACCCAGCAGCCAGACCTCATGCAGGCATTAGAAAATACATGAGAGCCAAGGTTTAGGCCTTGGTCTTTAGGTTCTTGGTTCTTTTTATTTTGTTTTCTGGGACAGTTTATTTTTATTTCACTGGCTTTATTTAGCCATATCTACATCTTCTGGTCCAGAGGAAGAACTAGTACCCAACAGGCTGATTCACCTTGAGCAGACCCCAGGGGTTCACTGCAGGCCTGGAAGTGATTCAAATCCAAATATAACATTGCACATTTGTGAAAACTATAGTGATAATAACACACTAATATTATAAAATGACACTGTCACTACAATTTCAGTGTGGCTGCTCATAACATGGTATGACTATACCCAGCATTACCTTGATTTCAGTTTTCTGAATTTCAATGATTAGAGTTGGCAAATGGAATAGGGCAATGAAGTTTTGTTTCGTTTTGCTTTTTAAGGTATTTGGGATGAAGGTGGAATAAAGAATGCTGCTTCCCTTTATAATTACTATTTGTCCACAGCCAATGTCATATTTGAGTGTTTGCTCTGGGAAACTTTTTTAAAGGTTTCCTTCTCATTGCCTTTAGAGTGGGACCACCTTTGAGAACTATGTTTTTATATATCTTTTCTTCTAGCCAGTTATTGATTAGTGAAAGCACAGAATGCAATTGATAGAAACATTTTCAAACACCTTGAGACTAGACAATAGATAAGTTGTCCATAATTAAATTAGCTAAAGAAAGTTATTTTTCTTTGGGATGGTGGGTTGTTGAGGATAATTTTTTTTCTACTTTTCCTTTATCATTTTCTCCTCCGTACACTTTGGCATGAATTTTGCATAGTCTGGAAGAGCAAAATTCTTCCCCAGATTCCTCAAGTCCGTGCTACTTAAGAGTGTCAAATACTACAGCGCCACACTTATCAACACACAACCTTTTTACACTGTGATGATCAGCCCTCTCGTCCCTTCTACCTCCATTATCAGAGTCTGGAGTTTCATATTAAATGTAGTTACATTTAATTATGTTTTCCTTATCAATGAGTTATTTATAGAGATTTTGTTAATTTTGAGCAATACACATGTGTGGATATGGGCATGGTTGTACTGTGCAAATATTTCATGTTAGCTAATAAATAGAAATACATTTAAATGCCTTGTTTTTGCCTCTGCCTTGAGAAAATCCAGGTGATTCATTTGGCTTCTGTGTCCTTGCTTAGTGAGTACAGCACGGAATTGTGTTTCTGATCACTGGATGTAGAACTAGGACTGGTTCCATTCATTGACTTGATACCCAGATGATTGGGGGTTATAGTCTAACCTATTCTATTTTTTAATTGCTTATGACATTTGGATTATTGTCTATATATACTACATATCTACTAGAAGCTCTTGTATTCTAAACTAGTATTTCTCAAATAAGGCTCTGTAACTTTAAAAGGACTGGGAACACATCTTCTCATTTCTGCAAAATCGCTAGGAGTTTGTGTGTATCTGTGTTTATTTTCAGTTTTAATTATGCTATTTAAAAATACCAGCATAGGGCTGGGGATTTAGCTCAGTGGCACAGCACCTGCCTGGCAAGCACAAGGTCATGAGTTCGATTCCCAGTACCAGAAAAAAACAAAACAAAACAAACAAAAAAGTACAGGCATATTCTAGCTAGACCACCTGAAAAATTCTTAAGAGTTTTGCTATACCCTTTCAGGGTCTGCATTTGTGTTTACAATTTCGTTGGATTCAAGGGACCACTAAAGGATTATCATATAATTCTAAATTCTAAGCTTTTCTATAATTTTATTTAAGAACTAGGGGGATCAGGTTTGTTTCCATTTTTAATATTCTCTGATCCCAACAAAAATACATGTTGATAAGAAGGTAAGGAAATGAGAGTCCTTATATACAGCTGAAGAAATTATTAAATGTTACAGCCAGTTTTGAAAACAGTTTGGCAGTTCCTCTAAAGGATAAAGCTAAAACTAACATACTACCCATTAATACCACTCCTAAGTATACACTCAAGATAACTAAAAACATATGTATGTCAAAAATCTATACACAAATATTCGCACAAATATCACTTAGGATATCCAAGAAGTGGAAACATCCAAATGTCCGTCAACTGCTGAAGGGATAAGTACATTGTAATACAAATGTATAATTGACTATTATTAAGGAACTAAAAGAATTGAACTACTGACACATAGTATACTGTAGCTGAACCTTAAGGCACACTAAGTAAAAGAAGCCAAATGCAACATACCACCAAATTATGTGATTCTGTTTATGTGAATGTCCAAAAAGGTAAGCTAATAGAGACAGAAATTAAATTAACGATTGCTTGGGATTGGGTATGAGAAGAAGGATTAAGTATTAATAGATATAAGAGATCTTATTCAGAGGAGAAAATGTTCTAAAATTGAGTTATGATGATGGCTGCGAATCTTACTTTCTCACTGCAGGGACAAAGGACTTGACATCCATGAGTTAAAGGGGAAAAGGGTTATTTTAGATCACACTTTTGTAGAGATTTCAGATTTCAGTCCAGTCAGCTGGCTCCCACACAGGTTGACATGGCAGTGGGGAAACAGCTCATGGCAAGGCAAGCAGGAAGCAACAGCACCCAAAGGAATAGGAATATATATATATATATATATATATATATATTCACATTCACGGTGATTCATCTCTTCCCACCAGGCTTCACCTCCCAATCATAGCCAGATATAAACCCATTAGTGAACTAATCCAGAATCATGCACCCATGATCCAGTATCACACTTGTGTTCCAGTATTATATATGCATAATTCACTCACCTACCAGAAGGCCCCTTTATGAATGCAGGAGATTTTTTAGGGGATATACCTAGATAGAAGTAATAATATTTCACCATTCAGTAAAGTTAATAAAAATTGACAGGTACACTTGAAATGGGTGAGTTTTATAACATGTAAAATACACCAATAAAACTTTGCAAAAATATTCTCTGGTTACTGATATGAGCAGATTTGTTGGTTTACCAATTTAATTACTTTTTATTTGCCATTCAGGCTTGGTTCCCTATTCTCTCTCTCTCTCTCTCTCTCTCTCTCTCTCTCTCTCTCTCTCTCTCTCT